GGTCGATTATCGAGCTTCGACGGGACTGGGCGCTGTATGCGTCGTACCTACAATGAAGAGGCCGGAGGCGTATAGACACCTCACCCCACATCCTACTGCTCTACCCGTGCCTCTGGGTGAAGCACTGTGGAAGCCCACAGGACCTGCGAGTCGACGTGGCCGCCGGATACTGCAGCTCCCCGGAGTTGCCTGGGACCGAGGGTTTAACAGTAGTAATTTTCACTGGTGGTGAATCCTCGTAATGTAGAGATAATATCCTCAAGGACCTCCGTTACGATTTTATATTCCTTAACAATATGGCTGACCAATTATGCTTGCCTACGTTCAGGCATTATCCCTGATGCTTATCCGCCCACTACAACATGTGTTGTCTGTCAATCAACCATCGCTCGACGACGGGATCAATTCTAACCATCGGTACTCGGTTGTCAATTCACCCACCCCGTTTCCCTAAAAATAGACGGGTCAGACTCGGCCTGGGTCCTAACGAGTCCTAGAATCGCCAGGGACGGGATCGGGTCGACGTTATTGCACCGGTCTTAGCGTCTTTTGTTACATGTAGAGTAGACAGCTTCGACCACGGACGTCGGACCGTTCTACGAATGTACGCACCATCCAGGCCTAAGATGCGTCGAGCTTTATAAGAATGCAGTCTAGATCAATCAACATAACAATGGTGGTATGCAAACGTTAAAATCTCTCCCCGGCTCCCGCAACGTCCAACGCTCCTCCGTTATACGCTCGCTCGATGCGTCCGCCGAGCCGGCTTGCCTCCAATGACGTCATCGGCCGGCCGGCGGCGTTCAAGGTCAAACGGCTGGTGTCCTTACCTGGAGTTCTATAGCCTTGGGCCCATCGATAGCGCTTCGGCGATACCTATCGCCTAGCTAGAGGCTGCAATGGGGCCCTTAGAGTACGGTGTCAGACCCCCAGAGGCCGGCGTTGGACCCAAAGGTCAGCGAAGGGCCTCAAAGGCCCCAGGTAGGGCCCCAGAGGCTGATGTGGGCCTTCATAAGCAAGTGCGTGACGCCCAAAGGTAAGGCTTGAGCCCCCAGAGAACATAATAGGGCCATCAGTGGCCGGTGTAGAGACCTCATAGGCCAGTTTGCGGGCCCCTCAGAGGCTAGTGTGGGGCCTCAGGTGTCGCTATGAGGCACTTAAAGACCGGCATGGGTCCTCAGAAGCCGGCATCGATCCTTCAGAAGCCAGTACGGGGCCCTCAGAGGCACATAAGGGCAGTTTCGGTCCCAGAGACAGAAATGGGACCATCAGAGGCCGGTGTGGGTCGTGGGACCTTTAGAGGCTGGTTTGGGCTCTTAAGGGTCAGTTTAGAGCCCTCAGAGACCAGTACAGGGCCTGCAAAGGGCAGTTTGAGACCACCAGAGACCGAATTGGGCACTCAGAGGCTAATATGGGTCCTTACAGGCCAGCATGGAACCCTCAGAGGTTAGGATGGGGCCCTAAAAGACCGACATGGGCCGGCGTTGGACCCCAGAGGCCAGCGGAGGGCCCTCAAAGGCCAAGATGGACCCTCAGACGCCGATGCGGGCCCTGAGCGGCCGGCATAGGGTCATCAGAATCCAGTGCGGGGGGCCCTCAGAGGCTAATGTGGGTCCTTACAGTCCAGCATGGGCCCTTAGAGGTCAGTGTGGGGCCCTAAAAGGCCGGCATGGGCCGGCGTTGGACCCCAGAGACCAGCGGAGGGCCCTCAAAGGCCAAGATGGGCCCTCAGACTAGGCCGATGCGGGCCCTTAGAGGCCGGCATCAGGTCTTCAGAAGCCCGTACGGGGCCCTCAGAGGCTAAGGTGGGTCCTTACAGGCCAGCACGGGCCCTCAGAGGTCAGTGTGGGACCCTAAAAGACCGGTATGGGCCGGCGTTGGACCCCAGAGGCCAACAGAAGGCCCTCAAAGGCCAAGATGGGCCCGCAGAAGCCGATGCTGACCCTTAGAGGCCGGCATCGGGTCTTCAGAATCCAGTGCGGGGGGCTCTCGGAGGTTAATATGGGCCCTTACAGGCCAGCATGAGGCCCTCAAAGATCAGAATGGGACCCTAAAAGACTGGCATTGGCCGGCGTTGGACCCCAGAGGCCAGCAGAGGGCCCTCAAAGGCCAAGATGGGCCTTCAGAGGCCGATGCGGACCCTTAGAGGCCGGCATCGGGTCTTCAGAATCCAGTGTGGGGCCCATAGAGGCTAATGTGTATCCTTACAGGTCAGCATGGGCCCTCAGAGGTCAGTGTGGGGCCCTAAGAGACCGGCATGGGCCGGCGTTGAACCTCAGAGGCCAGCAGAGGGCCCTCAAAGGCCAAGATGGACCCTCAGACGCCGATGCGGGCCCTGAGCGGCCGGCATTGGGTCATCAGAATCCAGTGCGGGGGGCCCTCAGAGGCTAATGTGGGTCCTTACAGTCCAGCATGGGCCCTTAGAGGTCAGTGTGGGGCCCTAAAAGGCCGGCATGGGCCGGCGTTGGACCCCAGAGACCAGCGGAGGGCCCTCAAAGGCCAAGATGGGCCCCCAGAGGCCGATGCTGGCTCGACAGCTGGTCTTCAGAATCCAGTGCGGGGCCCTCAGAGACACTTAAAGGCTAGTCTTGGGACTCGAGAGACAGAAATGAGGCCACCAGAGGCCGGTGTGAGGCTCTCAGACGCCGGTTGGGCCCCTGAGGCCGGTTTAGGGGCCCTCAAAGGCCAGTGGAGGGCCCTCAGAGGTCAATACGGGTCCTCAGCGGTCAAGGTGGACGCTTGACCGCCACTGAAGGGCCCTCAGAGGTCAGTGTAGGACCCTCAAAGACTGGTATGGGAGCTGCTAATAGCTGGCGTGGGTTTCTTGAGCCTCGTGACAATCGAATACGGGCCAGGGCCCCATACGGCCATGGGGGCCCATCGGTTGTTTGGGGGGGGGCCAAATGATATGATGGCCCCCCCTGATTTGCCTTTGGGGGGGGCCATGGCCCTGATGCCCCCCCCCCCCTGCGACCGCCACTGCTTAGATAAGACTGATTGGAGATGAAATGCTCAAAGAAATGAAAGTAATAAATTAACTAACGTCATCATACGACTGCCGTTTAGTGATAAATTTGTCTTCCTCCTTTTTAACGGCAGTTGTTATTTTTCGTTCACTGATTGGTCATCTAGTATTGTTCGGAACACACATGTTGGTGCAGTAATTCTCACCGCATTACTGCACTTACCGAGCAACAATGGGGCGCGCCCATCAACTACGTGCGAGTGCGCGGAGGCCTGTCCGTCAGCTGTGAGTGCGCGGCGGCCGTTCAGCGCGCGGCGGCCGCTCAGTGCGCGGAGGCCCACATTGTCCGTCAGTTGTGAGTGCACGGCACCATCGATCAGACTTAGTCCTGCAGCGGTCATTTGTTTCCATCCAGGTGAGCCGGCACGTCCGCGACCGGATCCCTCCGGCTGTGACCCTGCCCGGCATGTCACACAGTGAGCCCTCACCTATACCGCCATCCGGTGTGATATGAACACATCTTCCCGTCAGCGGGACCCGAGCGGAGACACGTGCCGCCGCTCCCTCAGCCCAGCAGTCTTCCCAGCCCGCGGCACGTATCTGAAGCAGAACGCCTGTCCATACCAAATGAACTGGTAAAGTCCATGACATTTGTCTGACAGGCCATGTGCCGAGCGGTGGAGCCGCCCATTTGGCACTTCACTGCTCTATTGAGCGGGGGATTTCAGAGCGCCCGCCACTGGTGCTGAGGAGCGAGTTTTATTTCAGCGACAGTGAGATCATTTTTCAAAAGAAGCCTCTTGATCATTTCAGTACACGTTTACAGTTTCTGCCATGTGACATGCAATTTAACCTTGTGCGAATTTCTGCCTCCTGAAGACGAAAATGGCGGCTGAACTTTCCATAAACGTGGCCGAATTTCTAGCACGCTCAGCTGGATACGATGCCCTGTAAACTAGCAAACGAGCAGTGGACAGCTTCGCCAGTGCATATGAAGTGCTCAGCATTCTTGGACTCCCCTCACCCTGAGGTTGCGCGGGGCTGCAGATAAATCGCTGTCTGTACGGCCGGTGGCTGGTGCTATCGTTGTCCGCACGATGGCAGCAAGTTGATCCCTGTTTGATCCCGTGTCGCCCGGGCGTGGACGCGGAAGTCGCCGACATTGATCGCCATGTTTAGGACTGAAGGTGCTAGCGATCCTTTCAGCAGTGCCATGGGGAGTCTAATTTGGTGCAATTGAAATTTTGGTTATTTATTTTGACGCACTAGGTCTTAACAAATTATTCAGACCACTTTAAAGGAAATAATTAAATAACAAATCCAGGAGAATAATTTGCTTCTCAGTGCATCCAATGAGATCCCATTCACCAACGTTAATATGGCAACCGCTCAGAAGTCGCCATGCTAAAAAAGATATATTGCAAGGTAAAGTAAGTGAACTTGAAGGTAGCACTTGGAAACCTGAGCTGTGCACATCACATCGGCACTCAGCGCACTCTGGCCTGCCCTACCCTGCGGCTCTTAGAAGTTAGTTCAGCGCATGGCTTCTGTGCTGCAGTCCTAGGGTCTCTCGGGTATCGATGCGGGCGGCGGCGGCGGTATTAAAAGGACGTGCTGGACGGACTGAGCTCGGCGGCGGCGGATTTCGCACCGCCGGCGATCGCTGTGGAGTCGGCTGTAATCCGCGCCCTATACATAACGCGACTCGCTGGCTGCGGCTCTATTCGAAACGGAACGTGACCGGGGAGTTATGGGTCGTCCGAGTCAATTTTCCGGCGCGGGCATTGAGTGCTCGTCCAATGCCTTCAGTTTGTGGGCGTCCCATCGCAGGGTTACTGTTATAGAGGGCTGGTGACGCGCGGCAAACACTAATCAAGGACCTCGTATTTAATAAGATGCTAAAACGTCTTTCTGGTAGTCCTGGAATAAGGTGCCAAACCGTCTTTCACGGTAGTGATGAACCAGACCGAGTCCTGAGCTGCCCGCCCCGGTGTCCTCTCGACTGAGCGGCGCTGCTCCCTCTCTGTGCCCCCAGTCCCGCTGCTGATGGCCTACATCACGCGCTACGTACCCGGCACGGACAAACTGCGACAGAACGCCTTCGAGGTGCGCAGCATGGACGGCCTCAGCTCGGGCGTGATCCACTGCGACGACCTGCTGGCGCTCTCCCAGTGGACCAAGCACGTTACCAACAACATCATGGGACTCACCAACCTTCAGGTGAGGGACCGTGTGTGCCAGAGACGCTGCAGGTGAGGGGCGGCCGCCGTCAGGGGTGCCTCTCAGGTGTGTGGAAGAAAGCGCTGAGGTAGAAGGCGACAAAATGAATGCCACATTGGCTTAGAAGCATTTACCCTGTCCAGTGTCCCAAGATTATAAGAATTAAGATGCCTGTGCCGGCATATAATTATTTGTCACTTAAACGCTTACAAAAAAAAATAAGCTAATCCACATGCTCACTAATCATCACACACCTCCATATGCTCCGTTTCCGTCAGATGAAGCTGTATAACCGCGACCTGCCGTCGGCCGAGCATATCACGTTCATGGGCTGGGTGTGCGAGGGCTACTTGAACCCGGCGCAGACCGGGCAGGACTGGGTGGTGCGCTTCCTCGCACTGCGCGGCTCAGAACTCTACATCTTCGACAAACCTCCGGTAAGTAAATGGGCGGGCGAGAGGGGAGAGGGAAAGAGTGGGAAGAAGGGACTGAGAGGCAGAAAGAGAAAGTTTAAACGTAGGGGACATTGAAAGGCGTAAAAAGATGCCAGGGCGTGAATATTCTTAAAATGTCGATTAATATCCTAAGTTTCAAATGTTTATGATATGATCTGATAATTTTTAACTCCTGATTTTGGCAGCAGAGGGATTATTTTTTACTATTCCCTTAGTCATTTCATCCCAAGGAATGCATTATTGTAGTTCAACTGCTCCCGAAAACAGGTAATGCTGCTGCGGTTTGTTGGCTGTTTGTTCGGCTTTGGATGCAGCTTTGCATTATTGAGTGTCTCGGATGAGCGAGGAATGCGGAGAGCAAACAAGCTTTTTCTTATTACGAAGTTGATTTGTTTCAGTGAAAGACACGTCCAAAACTAGTTCAATTTAATAGCATGTGTGCTGTTAGCCACAGCCTGTTCCCCGAAATGACCTTTCACGATTGATTAAGCCATGTTCATGAGTAACTAATACTATAGTACCATGCCATGCCATCGATCTGATCCCTACCTCCCCGTGGTAATTCTATTTTCATCGTTTTTTATGTTGCCTCGATATGCAGTCACAGTCACCTATTCAGGATGACCGAAGTCAAAGGAGTTATTCCTGGCATTGATTCAATAAAGATGTCGATGGAGTGTATGAGACAAAATCGCATCATCATAAACATAAAAAGATAAAAAATACATGAAACATGCCTACCTTATATCTATTCTGTTCATTGGGCGGCTCGGTAGCGGAGAGCCGTTTTCGGCCGCCTCTGCACCGCCTATGTAGAAGGGACTCTGTCTATGTGGGAGAGACTCGGCAGGCCGTCTCGGCGTGGGCTATCGCTCGTGGTTATGAGGCGTTTACTTGGCAGTTCAACAGCACCCAATTTCGGAGCTATTTATTGCATGGTGATAGAGACCATATACCAGTATCAGACTGCCTAAGTGCCTGGAGCGTCTTGGCCTTTGCAGCCGCGCCCGTATATCGTAGCTAATGATAAACAAATATAATATTCGGGTGCATTTATTGAGATCCCTCTATATACGCCATTCTAGTCCCATTCTTGTCATATATACTGAATACTGATGCTACATACCGCATCCATTTTGGTATCACATCTAATAGGTAAGAAGTGTGTGATAGATTTAGGCGTTGCAATCAAAGACTTATAGGTATTTGGGATTCCGACAAATTGCTGGGGAATAAAGCCAACTGAAGTCAGGATTTACTGCTGCTTGCCAGCTGTAACGTCGCGGTAGGCGATATTTGTGAATACATGTAATTGCACTGTATATGGATCAGTACTGATCTCATAATGTACCTTCTAATGAGGTAGGGAAAGTGGGAGTGATCCGACTGCTAATCCGTGGTTAATCCGACCTGTGCGGGGGTTAGGGTCTGTTTCGAGCCGCCTAAATACACACTCGCACTCTCGCCATTTGCCGCCGACGGAAATAGTCTGCAGACCGCATCGGTCGCGTTACTGGGCAGATTAACTCGGTGAGCGAGCAAGTCCTGTTCAGCCTTGTTGACCTGCTTCAATGCGAATAGATTGAATATTTTACGTGTGTAAGTGCCCGAAGAGTTTTGTTTCTTATTCATTCCTCACCATTCCTTCCTCATGCCTCATTATCGAACGCAAAGATGAGTATTTCTCTGGCAGAGTGCCTCTGGACCGATATCCTTCGTCCGGTAAGGATACCGGTAAACCGTACTGGAGATGTCCTGTAAGGTCCGTCCCGCAGAGCAGTGCCCCTCCTGCCGCCGGCACTATCTCGTGACCTTGTCGGTCCTCCACTGACCACCTCTGGTAAACCTCGCCACACCCGAGCGAGCCGGCAGTAAATGTCAGGGGTCAGGTCGTGCCGCACTCACCGGCTCACCGCGGTGACAATCAACTGAGCCCGGCGAGCTCATCAAACAGACAGGAGCGCACCGCGCCCAGATTGCCACCACCGCGCCGCGCCTGCCGCCTGGTCAGAGAACGTGGGCGCACGGGGGTCCCCGGAGATTGGCATGTCCGCGGCGCAGGCTGCACAGCATTGACATGAGCTTCGACAGAAAGGTGAAGGCTTTGCTGTTCATCTAAAAAGGTCACTCAAGGACGATGGTATACAGACGATGAGGACGATGCTGTTAGAGGTCAGAGTTGATGTTTCAGTGTCGCACGGGTCGTTTCTGCTGTTAGTTTTGGCCCCGTCCCGTAACGATTTCACGGTGGTCGTGGGCGGGTGATGCAGAGGTCCTAAGTCGCCCGGCCCGGAGAGCCCGTTCTCCCGGAGGTCGGTAGCTAACCTCAGTCGGTCCCCGGGGGCGGCAGGGCGAGTATAACTCTGCGGGACCGGTATCGAGCCACCGCCCCTACCTGATTGGATTACTCTCCGGTGAATGGCGCACAATGGCCGCTGTGACGAATCGGCAACGATATCACATCGTCAATGCTATCGCACTATATTGTAAAACATCGGTGAATTAATAGAGGCCTTATCGGACGCTGTTGGGCATACGTATTACGTTTCTAAGAGAATCTCGGAATTCCAAAGCTCCTCGGATTTCGTCGGTTATGTGTTGCCATGTAATTAATAAGTAGGTACCTATATGATATTTTTGCAAAAGAAAATACAGACAATATGAATCTAGTGGAAGTTCAACTTCTAGGTTACCAGTGCAGTATTGCGACATTGAGAACTAAGAGTGCGATAACGTGGATCTTTTTCAAATAAACTGAACTGAGCTGAACTGGTAAGCAGCTCATTCACTCGCTGCTCATCTGTACCGCGTTATACGTTCTCCTTTGAATAAACACCCGTTTTTCCTCCGTCACCTCCGCCCAGACTGCTGAAGCAGCTAAAATGACATCACTGTTTTATCCTCAGCGTGACCAGCAGGACTGGCTCAAGTGTCCGGGTGTCCACTCGGTGTACCAGACCATGTTCCGAGTCATACGGGAGTCGGAGAACGTGGACGAAAAGCAGCACTGCTTCCTCATCCAGACCACGGCCGGTGAGTGGCGGGACGCGGCGCAGGGTGGCGTCAGAGGGGTCGGATAAGACACAGCGGGGGATCGAGAGGTCACGGGTACAGCGGCAAAGGAGGTCATGTTTACACGTCAGGTTAAAGCTTGCAGGAGAGTAGGTGCTTCACATCTTAGCAGCACTACATTTCGGAAATTTCATTAACCCGCGCCCTTAGGGCTACTGGCGGGCCCTGCCGCCCGTAGAGGGGGAGGGGTGTTTCGCTCCCCCCCCCCCTCCGAAAGTTGCCGAACGGCGAACGATTTCCAAATTCAAACGGCATTCGATAACCTTTCCGGCGAACTGCCTTTTGACCCAATTTCATTGAGCTAGGTCCAGCCGATGACGTCACAGGTCAGGTCAAAAGTCGCATTTTTGACCGTTTACACCCATTCTAAGAAATGTGTTGTAACATCGAGTAAAAGCATGTTATTGAAATTCGTCGATTTAGCATTTTTGTCTAATACATAATTTGCTAACGGAAGTCACCGATACCAGGTCAGACCACGGAAGCCAGGTCACTAAGGGTCACAATAGCCGTTTTCACGACGGCCATCTGGTACACATTTAGTGCAAATTCGGTGCAGATTAGGTGCAGATTTGGTCAAATTAGGTTCCGTGTATCTCTTAGTAGCTATCAGCTAGGGTTGCGCTAATTGCTTATATGCCTGCTTTGTAATATTATCAGATACCTAGTATCATCGATTAACCCTAGAACGCCTAGGGGGGGGGGGGGGTTGTATCAACCCCCCCCCCTGAGATTTTTTTCGAAGTGCACGCTAAACGGCTTGTCGTAGCGGGCTGAAATTTTCAATACCCTCTGGGGCAACCTTTGCGCATCTTTTGCCGAAAAAAATTGATCGGGTCATGTCAGGTCACGGAGTTATGACGTCATAAGAGGTACAGCCTCCGGCCGACAGTTACCAAACGTGTGCGCCGAATCCCTAGGTTTTCTGCCGGTGATACCCACATTGTTTGATGGATCATGATGAAACTTCCCATGCATGTTGGGGCAAGCATTGGCTGTCGTGTGGTGCAAGAAAATTGACCGGGTCAGGTCAGGTCACGGAGCTATGACGTCACAAGAGGAACAGCGTCCGGTACTATTTTTGAAAAGCGCCCGAACCACTATTTTGCTAATTCTTGTCACCTCAATGGGAATATGCAGCAATATTAGCTTCTATAGGGAGCAAATGGACCTCCCAAATCCAAAAATACAATCAGATTTCGAAAATTTAAATTTTGATTTTTCGAATTTCTGCCGCCGACTGTGACCTTGCCGACTTCCGGCGCTCCCAACGCGCCATTTTTAGAGCTAGGGAAACGAAATACATACCAAACGATAGAGAATTGATCAAGGAACACGATAGTGAAGGTTTCAAGTCGATATCTCCCACCGTTTTGCCGCAATCGCCGCGGAAAGTTGAAAAAGTTTGATTTTTTTCGGAAAATTTGACCTTTGACCGGTCATAAGTAGGTCAAATGTTGACCTAGGACCAAAAAATATACCACCAATCGCGAGATCTCGTTAAGAGCAATCCGTTGGTTTTTTCCGCTAAGCTCTACGACCTTCCGTTTCGAAACGCCAGGGGGGGTCGTAACAACCCCCCCCCCCCTGGTCGTTCGTGTTATGAGAAATGGCCTGGTCGTGCAAGGGTTAAAACACTGAAATAAATTCATAAAATGAAGATATTTCCTGTAAAAGAGATAAGTGTAGATTTGGTCAAATTAGGTTCATTCGCCGGATAGCCCGTCGTGAAAACGGCTAATATAAACCCAACCACGGATCACCTAACGGATCGGCAACTCTCCCCGCTTCCCATTGTTATCGGTGTACCCGCGGAGCGGGCTGCCATCTAGCGGCGCGGATATCTTCACTAAGGAGGGGAGCCGGCCGCCCGCCGCAACCAGTGTTAAAAGGCACGGGGAAACGGGTGTGAACGCAACACCCGTCCGTCGTTTTCATCCTCAGGATGTTCAGATCAAGTTCAAATCCTTCTCCTCCACGCAGCAGCTCTCGATCCGGGCTGGACAGGCAACTTTATCTCATGCGGGCTGCTCCCTTGAAGCGCACCACTGCTCCCAAGGGAGCACACCCGTAGCCGGGTGCAGAGAGTGCTTTGGGGGCTGGTCGGCCTGTCCATTCGGTCGGGCTCAGCCCCGGTGTCTCTCTAGGGTGCCTGTCCAGACCAACGTTTCTCCCAATTCCTATAACCTTTCCGGCTCTGCAATGGTCTCTTAACCCGCGCCGGGCCGGGGGTTGTTTGAACACCCCCCCCCCCTGCGTTTTTTCGCAGATATCTCAAATACGGCGGCGGGGAGCGCCCGTTTTTGGCATACCTGTTCGTGCATCTTTTCCGCACATGTGAAAATTGCAGACCCAGATCGCCTTAAAGGGACACTCCCACCTTAACATTAGTTTTGAGTTGAGATAGCCAAATTGGTGGCCATGGCCTGCAAATACCGGTTTGGGCACGCACAACATCGACAAATGCTTTAATTCGGAGATATGGAATTTCAAACTTGCAGTTTTCGGATTCTAAGGGGCTAGTGCATTGGTATGCCCCCTTAGAATTTGTGACGTCAGCGGAGATCTAACGATTTTTAAATCTTTTACTAAAACGTTTGGTAGCACGCGGTGGTATATGCTGCTTTGCGCGCAACAAATGCCGCACTTTCAAATTAAGTCGCTAGGAACAGCGGAGATCCCAAAAAGTAAACAAAAGTAAAAGTCTAATATCTTGAAAACCGGTGAATATTTTTCGATGAAATTTGGTAGATATTCGTTTTCGCTCTTTCTGAACCGAGCGACATCACTTTCGTGCCAATTCATTAACTTTTTTGAAGGTGGGAGGGTCCCTTTAAAGGGACCCTCCCACCTTCAAAAAAGTTAATGAATTGGCATGAAAGTGATGTCCCTTGGTTCAGAAAGAGCGAAAACGAATATCTACCAAATTTCACGGAAAAATATTCACTGGTTTTCAAGATATTAGGCTTTTACTTTTGTTTACTTTTGGGATATGCCCTGTTACTAGCGACTTTATTTGGAAGCAATAATTTGGCAGCCTTAAAGTGCGGCAGACGTTGCGCGCAAAGCAGCGTATACCACCACGTGTTAACGATGGTTTTAGTCTAAGATTTAAAAATCGTTAGATCTCCGCTGACGTCACAAATTCTAAGGGGGCATTCCAATGCATTAGCCCCTTAGAATCCGAAAACTGCAAGTTTGAAATTCCATATCTTCGAATTAAAGCATTTTTCGATGTTGTGAGTGCCCAAACCGGTATTTGCAGGCCATGGCCACCAATTTGGCTATCTCAACTCAAAACTAATGTTAAGGTGGGAGTGTCCCTTTAAGGCTGAAACAGACTCTTTCCGCGTTCAGGAAATCGCATGCGAGAGCCTATTCAAATACGTTATAATTCTTCCCGCATCAATCGCATCCGGGAGGTGCGTGCGATTGATGCGAGCGTGCTTCCATGTATTTGAATAGGCTCTCGTATGCGATTTCCTGACTGCGGAAAGAGTCTGTTTCAGGCTTTAGGTCAGGGCACCAGATCACGCCAAGTGACCTCACCTTAGAAAAAATAAGAATGCTCGTCATAGCTACACCGAATGATCGATTGCCTTGAAACTTTCAGCGATTGATAAGAGCAACATTATCTATAAAATGTTTATCTCGGAAGTTTGATATTGGTGACCTAAGGTCAGGTCAATTTTGCGGCCTCTCCATTATAAATAAGTCAATGGGAGAAAATTGAAAAAGCGTCTTGAAAAAGCGAAAATTGAAAAAGTTATTGCCGAAAAAAACGTTTTTCGTAAACACGGCTATTTTTTTTAGTTTTTGCCCTCTGGAGGCTAAACCGTTGACCTGAGGTCAAATCTAAGAATACAACTCGGAAAGACCTGTGAAAGAGCTATCGAATGCGCTTTTCCGCGGCGCTGTAGTTCTGTTAGTTCCCAAGTTATGCGTCGCGTGTTTCGAAAATTGTTGAAATAGACAAAATTTGCCTTTAATGACCTCTGGTGACCTGACCTTTGACCTGACCTAAAAATGACCGGAGTATTCCCGCCATTATTTCTTACGCTCTTTGGAATGCCGCTTACCCCGTGTGGCTACGTGGCCCAGAAGCCGAGTTAGGGGGGAGGGGGCGGGGGTTTCATACACCCTCGGCCCGGCGCGGTTGGTACCGTGTACCGGCCCGGCGTGGGTTTATGCTTTATGCAAGTATATTTGTGAAAGTTACAGGTTTAATTTAATCGGCAGATGAATATTTGTCAAAAATATACTCATGAAATATATGTAAGACATGACAACGATCGGAAAATTACCAATTTCGCGATGGACGTTAGGTCGCCCACGTGGATATGAAAACAACGATTTTCATGACAAAGGATACAAGCTCAAATACTTAACCTGTCTCTAACGATTCTTGCCATTCTCATTTATACCATAGATATCTTCTGAGCTAGCTGAGAAACCATGTTCCGCAGAAAAATCACTTAATTGGCTCCGACACGACGCCCTCAACACGCACGAGGCCGGCCGCGTCCTTAGTGAAGATAGTTAACCTAAATGCCCACCAGGTGGCAGGGGAGACAGGTCGCGGGGGGAGTTGCCGATCCGTTATGTGATCCGTGACCCAACTATACTGAGGTCGTGTGATACATGTTTTATGGTCCATTTTACATGGCAAATTCAATTATGTAGGATAGGTCGCCATTGCCATAGCCGGTGCTGCTCATTCTGTTAATCATCATCTCATTCTGCTCATTCTGTCAATCATCATCAATTATAGATGCCTTGTTGAAAGATTTCGTTGGCGATGGCTTTTATATTTAGTGGTTGCAAGTTAGTTGCGACCCTACCAGTCGTAGTAGAAAGTGTATCTTATCAACAAGAAATAATGTTATACGGCCGCACATGACATCAGCATTCAGCAACTAAATAATTTCGTGAGCCACTGCTACAGATCAATGGATCATCATTCATTTTTATTAGCACGGAATTTATTTATTTATCAACTCAGTCACTCTCATATGGCGGGCGATTCTTTCACGTCTGCTGATATTGGCAGGCAGATTGATATTCACGTATCGTATCGCCGGCCCGGTAGCGAATAATGACACAGTGTGTCTGACACCACTGACGGCGGCTGACAGACGACCGGCGATCCCGCCGAGCTCCAGACCAACGATCGGCTTTTAAGTACATTAAATTGCAATGACTGGGCCTGTCATTCATCGAATAGACTTCGGGTCACTGGTTACAAACAGCCCACATAGGTACCGTAAAGTGGGGCTATTTGAGACAGTGGGGCTATTTGAGACAGTAAGGTAATGGTATAGTAAAATCGCTGTAAAATGAAAACCGTTTGATGTTTTTTTCGTCATTTTTGCTTAAGCTGATGTGGAATTGAACAATGAATGCTCTGAATAACCTTTTTGAAAATTTCGAAAAGTTCTGAAAGAAATTTGCAATAAAATACGAAATACAGAAAAACGCACAATTTCAGTTGCTCGAAAAAGATCCCTACCTGCAGCTTAAAAAAGTTGAAGTTTTAACAGCTTCGCCACTGTATCTATCGCTACTTCCTTTTTGCTTATAGGTCAAGCACATTTTTCATGAAAATATTATATATTGTTAACGGTACTGCCGATTGCGTAACCCATTGTCTCAGAATCCCGATGATGCCCACCTGGTCAAACCTCAACGGATATGCCAAATAGCTGATGATAACGGTGATGCGATGCACCCGAGAAGACTTACCGCCATCTACCTGAAGTGCATCGAACGTTCGACATAAGCAACACCGGTGAATCGGTCGTGGTCATAAACGTGCAGTGGGTTCATGGTAGGTACTTTTAGCAGCAAGCAATATTTACATGTTCGTAGTGTAACATAATAACCCTTTAGCTGGTGACCAAACTAGTTATTCTGATGAATATGTGCTTAAAATGTGCTTTATCAGTCACTGACTCATTCGACAATCAACATATGTCTACCTTGGTTGACCAAAAAACACCATCGAATGTTACTTAACACATGAACGTACTGTTAGGTGAGCCTTTCCAAGTACTTGATGTGGTAGGGTAACCGGCCAATTGATACGGCATGCAGCGATCGAGGAAAATCGGCATAAAATCAAAACCGTTTAACATTTTTCTGTTATTTCTTCGCATGGAGATGTACAATGGAACAAACAATCATGCAGACCATTCACTCAAATGTTTTGGGAAACCTTTTGCCTTGTTTGGTTCATTACAGTGTGCTTCATAAGGTAGCGAGACTGTCTCAAATAGCCCCACCGACTTTCGGTATATCTGTTTTCACGTCACCGGGGCTATATACAAAAACTTACTTTCAAAATTTTACTGTCGATGACTTTAAAATAGTCCTTGATGATCATCCTGTCAGTTTGAAAGCTATGAGTCACATCATATTATGATAGCCTTAGCATACAGGGTGATCCAAAAAAATTGGAACCCCTAACTTAAAATGGCTGTAAGTCAGAAAATTTTCACTTTATTGACAAACTGAAAATACCATTAAAAAGAGCGTTCTATTCTCTATAAAACCAAGTTGATTGAATTTAATTATTACGATAGATATTGCCCTAGACATATGCATATAAAATTTGTGTCACGAAACTCAGTGAAACGGCTTTGAACATTATGCGCAAATGAGTCCTATTGACGGTTTGCTGTTCTTCTTCTGACCATGTCGCTTGTTGGAGGTTCGTGAATAAAAATAGCTTATTCACGTGCTATTATAAGAAAAGGAAAGGCTGACGGCCTGCTGATGCCAGTTGTCCCAGAGACTGCTGGTCCGCGCTGTCGGAGCTGTCCCCAAGCAACTGCAGGCCTGCGTGACGGCCCACGGAGCTCGCGTTGAGCACATGCTGTGATGAACAGCGGAAGCTAGGACGCGTGTATCTGTTCTATTGTGTGCTTCTGTGTAAACTTTTATGTAATAAAATTGAATTTGGATATGGTGTTTTTCGCAAAAAGACAACAGATAGAGTGCTAACGGATTTCAGCGCATTGTTAACATTTGACGATTTCGTTTCACTCAGTTTTCTGACGCTCATTCCAAAAGCTAATAGTGTGTCAATGCTTTACAACATACATGCACCGATTTGACGTGATTTTATAGAGGATTTAGTGCTCTTTCTAATGGTGTTCGCCATTTGTCAATAAAGTGAATATTTTCGGACTTATAGACATTTTAAGTTAGGGGTTCCAAATTTTTTGGATCACCCTGTATAGTGATGCAATTTTATACCCTACCGAAATGAAGTGTCCTACGAAAAAGGAAAAGATTGAATATAAAGGTCATATAACAGTCTTTGAAAAAAACAATTTTTGCCAAAATGATCAAAATTCAATTTCCAAATGCATGGCGTTTGAAAAATTATCTCTAGCGTGACCGATTTTCTTTAATTTCCTTGCAACTAAAACTGTCTCAAATAGCCCCACCCTATGGGGCTATTTGAGACAGGCTTTAACATAAAAAATAACCTCAGTCATTATTACTAGCTGAACTAAAATACACCTATATGAAACAGCTCACAGAGAACTACATTTTTGCAATTTACATGCCATGCTATAAGAAATATGAGCCGTCTTAAAGGGAGAGGCCAAAAACTGTAAAATCCGTTTCAAATAGCCCCACTTTACGGTACCTAATTGAGTTGATGCAAAGTGCAAACATTGGGGCAATGAAGGTTTATATATGTGCTTCGGAGTTCGGGCGCCATTCAGTCACTCAGACAGACGCAAAACATTCTTTTATTTCTTCCTTCATATTTGTTCAGCCATTGGGTAGTTGATTTGCCGTCAGTTCTTGATTTAAGGCATCGATAACATTTTACCGGCGTCGTCTGAAGCCCGCTCGGCCCGTCTGTCTCCCGGCAGGAACGTCGCACTACCTGAGCGTGGAGACGCGCCAGGAGCTGATCCGAATCGAGTCGTCGTGGCTGCGCTGTGTCCACCAGGCCGTGGCGCGACTGGGGGTGAGTGCCGACCGCTGGGCAACGATCCGGCCCGTGGGGAGACCATTTCAGGCTCCCCTCTTCAGTTGGTTCGCGAATATCTCAAAAATGGCGGACGGCAGATTTGACGGTGTGAGCGTTTTCGGCATAGCCATATGTAGTACATATTCTTCGCATGTATTTGTGAAAATTTTAGATCCTGGTCATTAAAGGTCACGCCAAGTGGCCTCAACTCAAGCAAAAAACGCTACCAAAAACCCCCAAAAATAACCCTACACCAAATAATTCCGCCCATGTTGTGTTGGAGCCTGGTGCTTACTAGCGCCTGCGGCTCTGCGCGGCCGGAGGAGCGACCCTCACCTCTCGGCGCGGTCTAAAGGAGTACCCTCACCCCCTGAGCGGCCCTCACTTCCCGGCACGCCCGGAGGGAGCACCTCTGCCTCCCGGTGTGGTGTGTGGTGTCGATGTTTGTCCCATCGGCCGCCGAGGCTCGCCGAGTGTTTGCCCGCCACTGTCGTCGGCTGACATTGATCGCCGCCTCATCCGAGCCAGGTCGGAGCTGAGACGACCGTACGGACTGACTGGCAGACACGGCGGCACGGACTAATCGACGGACACGGCGGTACGGACTGACGGACGGACACGACGGTAAGGCCTGACTGACGGACCGGAGACGTAATGGACTGACTGACTGACTGACAGACACGGCGGCACGGACTGACCGACGGACCAGAGACGTAATGGACTGACTGACTGACGGACACGGTCGCACGGACTGACTGACAGACACGGCGGCACGGACTGACTGACGGACCGGAGACGGAACGGAGACGGACTGACGGACAGACACGGCGGTACGGACGGACTGGCGGAGCAGAGACGGTGGCATGGACTAGCGACTGACGTATGTGGGTCTCAAGGCACGCAGAACCGAGGACAAGGGTCTTCCAATCTGTTATAAAATCGTGCCTAAGAAGTATTTGTATTAACATTGTAATCAAACTAAATTTTACGGTGAAATAGCAATACCAGATCGGCATCGGTTTGAACAATGTTGGCCCAAATATTTGGCATACGACTGCCATATACGTGTATAACGACGTACTTTGTACTTCCTTTGACCTTTGAGAGTCCATACCATCTGCTGGACTATGGGGTCGTTCGGTACGTGTAGAATCCGCACCGACGCGGCGGGACGGAGCATTCGTCTGTGACGCTCTTTCAGACGGACGGCGGCAGTACCTACACGACTTCTGTCATCGTCCGCAGACCTATACCGAATGTCTTTCACCAACGGGTTTACAGCTATACCAATATGTTGGATGTGAATACTGAATAATGCGTGTCCTTTGTTTGCGAATCCAGCCAGCATCCAGCGAATTCACAACATTTCTGGGAAGTGGGAACTTCCCAGCAAAGAAGTGCGCGCACTGTTTTTGAAGCTGAGTTAGCCGCTGCGCGAAAGGCAAAGTCAACACAGTCAAACACAGTTCTTGCTCCGGGATAAATTGTGGACTATAGATCAACTAGATCTTGAAATATAGATGGCCAGAGTGCAATGTGATTCTAACGAAACGAAATTCTTACATCGGAACAATAACAATCAAGAAAACTAAACAAAAAATAGCTTTTGTCATATAAAACAGTTAATAAGAACAATTGACGCGCAGTTTATAAGAACAATAACTTAAAGCGGAACATCAATATTTTTACGTCTCAAGTCAATAAAGCTAATGAACCAATGGCGATAATAGATAAACAATGGTTATGAAATTAGTGGCTTCTTAATTTAAACTATCATTATGTTTGCTTTTAACTGCCTTGCCAATATTGGTAATACACTAGTAGGGACCGTTTGCACATTGCCTAACCTAACTCTGTATGTCGAGAAAATATTTACGAATTTGATATATTTTTTGCAAGATATTCACAAGGATCGCCGCACGATTAAACGATGATCAAAATACGCTCCGTCGCCCGATAGCCCTACGCCTTTTTGTAGCTAATTGAATTGTCCCCAAATAGATTAACGTTCGCCAATCGTGTCTGAAACGTGTCCGTTTGCTTCCCCAGAGTAAGACGTTCCGGGTCAAATGCGACGGCCACGACTCTGGCCTGACGCTCGACTGGGCGATGGGCTTCGCGCTGTATGACAGCGAGACCAAGATGTTCTGCTGGAAGTACAAGTTCTCCCAGCTGAAGGGCAGCTCGGACGACAACAAGTCGCGACTGCGGCTCGACTTCATCTCAGCGGACGGCACCGAGCTACACACCAGGGTGAGTAAGAGTCAGATCAGAGTCAGAGCTCAGTCCCGGTCCCGGTTTGAGTAGGAGTATCCGAACCGAGACGAGTCAGAGTATCGGTACCGGTGTCCGAGTCAGAGCCCCAGTCCGAGTTTGAGTCTCAATCCGAGTCGAGTCCCAGTTGAAGTAGTGTGTGTGTGAGTCTGTATATGTGGGACTGATGGCTCTCCTGGCTGACCTCTGTCCCATCCCCGCTGGCGGGAACTGTGTGTCTGAGTCGGTGTGTAGAGGTTCATCGGCTCTGACCTCTGTCCCATCCCCGCTGGCAGGAGCTGTGTGTCTGAGTCGGTGTAGAGGTTCACCGGCTCTGACCTCTGTCCCATCCCCGCTGGTGGGAACTGTGTGTCTGAGTCGGTGTAGAGCCGTTCATCGGCTCTGACCTCTGTCCCATCCCCGCTGGCAGGGGCTGTGTGTCTGAGTCGGTGTGTAGAGGTTCACTGGCTCTCCGCTCTCGCTCCGACCTCTGTCTCTGCTGTCAGGAGCTGGAGTGCGCGGCGCTGCAGCCGCTGCTGTTCTGTATGCACGCCTTCCTGACGGCTAAGGTGGCCGCCGTGGATCCGTCGTTCCTGAGGCATCACACGTGACCCGGCCGCGGCGCCACGGCTGACAGCGGCCTAGGTAAATATCGAGCGCTGACTATATCCGGAGTAGGGGGTGCTGACTACTGCACCAAGTACTAACCCTAGCCTGAGTAGGGACTACTAACTACTGCACCGAATTCATGCCGACTATATATCTGACTCGGCCAAAGTCGGATGGCATGTAGCGAAGGGTATCAATTCTAAACTGACGAGCTCACCCCAGCGACGGTAGCACCGCAAGTGTACGATTGCTGGAGATGTATTCTGATTACCCTGCACTGTTCCAGGTCCATAGCTTAATCAAGGCCGTATATGCTTAAATATTGTGCGTTTCTAGGCTTGTACACACTTACCTACTTGGTGACCGATGATCTGACGAAGTCTTTTGACGAACATATGGCAAACATTGTTCGAATATCGAAATTTATTTCATTATCGTAGAGGTCGGGCGATCATAATCATATAATGCAATATGAAGGACGAAGGTTCATCAAATATCTGCAACTTGTTCTGCACGTCATGATTGGCCTTGAGATGCCGGTTTGGCGTGCATCTGCTGCAGGGCGGCTCGTTTGCATACCGGAGTTGAAGTGGAGACAGCAATCGCTGAACCAGGGGAGATCCCGTGCTGCAGGTAGCAGGCCGTGGGCAGACGTGCAGGCACGCTCACTCGGATGTAGAGTGGGCGAAAAATGTCGCTATCCTTGAGCAAACGGGGATGCCCTTCTGATTAGCAATGGCTGCTCGCCGATATTCATGGATGCCTCGACTCGCCGAGAATTTAAATTTGAAAAATGTGATCACATCTCCGCCCACGCAACTTATTGGTGGAGCATGTATACGAGCTTGTCTTGGAGAAATAGACGGACCGTCGGACCATTTACGAATTAGGTGACAGTTGGACTGGTAAGCGTATGCAGACTGGGTCACTGTGAAGTGTGCAAAGCATATAATGTCCGGCCGCTTCAGCCTGTAGGTAACTTTATCACCAGGCTGCAGCTCCTGAGTGCCTGTGTAGGTTCGATTCGATGGGCGACTTATGTCAAAATATTGAGATTAGGTACTCAGATGCTTGACATACCTAACAATTTCAAACTTTCTGTTGCAAAAAGAGAGGCCTAAATCCTAGCGGTAATAGAAAGAAGGGTAAAATACGCCCATACCTGCGATCTATACAGGGTGTCCCATAAGTTCCTTCTCACCTAAATTTTTCTTTAAGAGGCTCTCTTATTTAAAGCCACGCTTAATTTATTTTGTAACTGAGCTTTTTGGGTTGCCATGGCAACTGTGAATGTGCTCCACGGTAACTAATTCGTCTAGACAAAATATTTTTTGCCAGAGAGTTCACTTCCTTTGGAGACGGCTTACGCCGCAACATAGAGGTCTCTGATACGGGAACGTCTCGGTATTTAGTCCGCACTGGGCCATTCACGACGGTTGAGGGTGATTGAGGCCATCCAGTATGTAGCCAATGTCTGTCGCTAACTGGACGCACAGTCAACAAGTGACGCCGATGATTTGTCGGGAGTCAATCGCTGCAAGTTTATGCTCTCTTTTTGTCAGCTTTCACGAGTGAGCCATGTGGCCAAAACTGTGTGGCGCCAAAATGGCCGTCAAAAAGGTCTTAGCGTTAGAAAGTTGGTAAACAGGCTTTTCAGGATGTATTACCAGCTGTCTAAGAGTATCGTTTCGGGGTACCTACCTCAAGGTGACTTAAGCTCTACTTACCGGAGGGCTCAAAACAGTCAAAAACGTCTTAAAATGGCCAAACATGTGCTTCGTTATGCCTGAGGCTAAAAAAACTGAAGGGTCGATGACATCAATGTGGTCATCTGGACTACCTAGTCCGTGCTCGAGATAAAACACCCGTCCAAACCCCAAAACGGTCCCATATGGGCGACGGAAAAGGCCTTTGTGTCATCCAGCTTTATTCCTATGCAAAAGGCCAGGGTCAAGGTAATGTGGGGTAATATGCGTCCAGACACTGATCACGTTGCGAATGATGCTCCAGAAACAGTCTTGGGACGCAGAATGCTTCTCCAAGAAGATCTAGGAGGAGTTTCAGCTTTCTAGCTTAACTTGAACCGCAAGTATGACCACATTTTTTTAGTAGAAAATGGCATCCGGGAGGTCGTAGGCCCATCTTCAAGCAAGACAGTGCATCAGTGCAGAGGTCAAGCAAAGCATAAAAGCAGTGCCAGGAGACTGTGATAGGCGTGTGTGGCAAGATCACATCCCAGGCAACTCATCAGATCCAAATTTCATAAAAATGTGTTGGGAATATTGAAATCGAGGCTCGTCGAAGCGAAGCGGTGTTCCAGCATTGAGGAGCTCACGGCGCATGCCAAGTCAGTCTGGGCTAACTTCAAGCCTGCTATGCTGCCAAACATGCCGGTTGGCATGTCGCAGCATGTATTCATGTGTTTGCTTATGAAATGGGGAGCACATTGAGGGGTTATAAACATATCAAAACGCAATGTACTATGTTTTACATGCAAATAAAAGGTGAGAACGAACTTATGGGACACCCTGTATGTTCGGCTCTATTCCAAAATGTGGCGATGAAATCTCTGCTAAGAAGCCTGCGTAAAAAAATGGTAGGTACCTATAAATTCGTCAGGGATGCAAAGTAAATAGAAATCAAACTACCATTGCACCTGAACGTGTCAATCATCATGGGTTAAAAATGGTTACCTAGACCTAATGTAGATGATATTGTATTTAAATAGCGCCTATTAGCATCCATTTTTTTCATAGAAAGATATTAACTTGGTTACGGCCATATACAGGGTGTTTCTGAAAATGCTGACACATTTGTTTTGGTATTTGGAGGAATTTACTGCATTTAAATGCACGTGTTCAATACACGAGACGAAAGAATAGTTTTTGAAAATTTGTTTGACAGCATCGGTGCTTTCATTCAATACGCCGTATTACTGACACGAAGGAAAATGCTAAGATAGTGCATTTCTACTTCGAACCCAATTCTGTTGTTTTGACACAATGGCACTGATCTGGATCTGGATCTTGATCTGATTTGGACAACCGGATCTGGAGTGAGAAGGCCCAGGACGAGGTCGCAGAAGATCAGCTGCACCCGCCCCGATGCACTGCATGGTGCGCTGTGGGCAGCACGGGCATTATCAGCCCAATCTGGATCGAAGATGACGCGGGCGACGTCCTCACGGTGACGGCGGAGCGCTATCTGCAGGTGCTCGAGAAGTTCTGGACTGCGCTCCAGAGGAAGTGTGTGGACACCATCAGTGGTTGCAGCAGGATCGTGCCCCCGCTCATGCAGCCACTGTGACCCTACAGTTGCTACAGGAGCGCTTCGGGGGGGGGGGGGCTCATTTCCCGAGGCACCCCCACCAGGTGGCCACCAAGGTCTCCGGACCTCACGCCGGCGGACTTCTACCTCTGGGGGTCATGTTAAGGAAAGAGCCTACAAGAGTTAACCCCGAGACATTCCCGAGCTGAAGGCTGCGGTCCGCGCGTGCGTGAGAGCGGTGACGCCCCAGGAGCGCCGCCGAGTTCTGGAAGCAGTGCGCCGTCGGGTCGAACTCTGTTTGGCTTGAAGTGGTGGTCACTTCGAGCACCTGCTCTAGGTTCCGAGAAGGGGATCAAATAGTGATCATTGGCGATGGATGTGAATTTTTAATGATGACTGATTAGTTGTAGCCTATGACGATGAGTGTGCGTCAATAAACATGAGAGATATAGGAGAAATAAATGTGTCAGCATTTTCAGAAACACCCTGTATGACGCTTGACAAAATAAACACGACGACAATTAGGTATGCATGTGTGCCCTTCTAGAGATGTCAATCGGATACCAACTTTTTGGTGTACCGATACCAAACCGATACCAACTCGGTATTTGGTATTTCAATCCTAATGTGTTTGGTATTTTGTTGGTATCATTAACCCTCCCTAATGTTTAAGAGGCTAAGAAATCGGTAAAATGTTGGTATTTTCCTCATGTTCCCAAGTTGGTTTGGTTTCGGTATTTCTCCACGGTTTTGGTTGGTATTTGGTTTGGTATCGGTATTCCGATTTTCCGTAATTGACATCACTATGCCCTTCCCTGTCTTTCTAGTGAACACAAGGTGTCGCTTTCCGAAAATGATTGGTAGGGCCCAAAGGCGGCAGACGGCCATTTATGACGTGCTTACAGAGGTGTGGTACCCCAGATTTGCCTTTCTCATCGGATTCCGGTCACTTATTTTTTCGCTTTGGTAATTGATAATCAAAACTAGAATAAAAAAAATCCTGGAAATATAGGTACTACTGAGCCCTATGCACAAAACGTGCATTTATATTTTATATAGGCATAAGTGTCCGAGCACATAGGAACACAAACCTACTATGGACGTCAAACCCCTTGAGACCCCACTTTTTTGCGATAATTTTTAAATGCGTCAACTCTCGTTGACAATATTCTGGCAATGTGTGTTTCAGAACCTGCCGAAACTTTTATTACTAAGGTATTTTGACGCCAAACGATTATGAACGGTACTTCTCATTCACTCGTAATGCTAAGGTCAATTCAGGCCCGGGCAGAGGCTTGCGCTCGGCCACACTCGAGCCCCACCACCAGCGCCATCTGCTCTTAATATCATCTACCAGCGCCCGCTACCGCTACCAGCTACCGCCCACCATCAAGCCTGAATGGAGCGAGAGACGCGAGTGACCGGTCGCCGGGCAAGGAGCGCCGGAGGGGTAGGGCGGAGCTTAGCGCTGGCGTCATTACGTGGCTCCGCCCCATGAGCGCGTAGCCTCTACCCAAACAGCAGATTCGTTCCGTGAAATTTAACATTACGAGTGAATGAGAAATACCTTTCATAATCGTTTGGCGTCAAAATACCTTAGTACCTAATAAAAGTTTCGGCAGGTTCTGAAACGCACATTGCCAGAATATTGTCAACGAGAAGTGACGCATTTAAAAATTATCGCAAAAAAGTGGGGTCTCAAGGGGTTTGACGTCCATAGTAGGTACTCCCTTTTTCAGCGAATATCTAGCTCGATCAGGGGCCAAACGGTTCATTTCCCCATTTCATCGCCTGTTAAAGGTATCTGACAAAAGATTGGTATGGCTCAAATTAACATGGTAGGGCAAGCCTATACAAAACGACACCCCTGTGTGGACATTTTGACTGGTTGTTTTGGTTCATGGTGCGATATTGGTCTACTGACTGACCCCTGTTCCCCCTCTTTGCAGGCGATCCTCGGAGGTTGGAGGGGCGGATGCTGCCGGGGACACTGGCGGGGTAGGAGCAGCGCCGGTGTCCGGAGGAGCCGGGACCCAGCCCGCCTGGGCGGCACAGCGGCGACGTCGGTCCGCCAGCCGCGGGACCCGCTTCCACCGTCGGCGCGCCGGCCGCGGAGTATAGCAATACTCGGTGTTCCGCCGCCAGGGCGGCGCCACTGTCGCATTGATCCCTCGCTCCTCGCGCTGGGCCGGCCGACGATGGACCGCGTCGTCGACTCCGGCGGACAGGCGGCTCGTCGGAGGGCGCAGAGGCGGCGCCCCGTTCCCATATACTTGACTTGATCTCGCTCTGACGCCTGCAGCGACCGAAATAGCCACGGCACTATGGCTTGGCAGCTGTTACGAATAGCCGGTTAGCCGCTCGGCACTGGTTTAGAGTATTTTACTGGCGACTTTTCGCCACTCTGTTACACGAGGTGCCGGTGCCCGGTTCGTTATTCCTTTCCCTAGCGCGCATCCACTTCATTTGGTGTGATAATCATCGCCTGAGTTTCGCCTTTTGTTGTTATTGTCATTCATAGTTTGATGTGATGAATATGTGGGAACTGAGAATTGAAATGGGGAATGTCTGATAATTGTATTTAATAATAAATGATTCATTACCGCAGGCACGTACCCAGGATTTCGCCCAGGAGGGGGCCACCTGCTTTCGAAGGGGCCCCCCACAGTGTATAGGGTCCCCCAGGTTCCCCGGGGGCCCCCGGGAGTCATGAAGAACCTTTCGATGGTGGGGGGGGGGGGGCATAGTGGGTCCGGTCTCTCCTGCAGACGTAGGTGAGAAAACGCCACGTGTGTGGGAAAACGCAATTCAGTTCTTTACAACCTTATGTAGCATTTGGTTGTGATTTCTCGCGTTCAACTTCATCAAAGTCAATTAAAACGGTCTCTGTAACGGTCTAAGCCTTGAGAAAATGTGGAAAATTTGAAAGTAAAAATATCTTTGCTTGAAGAGTGTGCATGAAACGCACGGCATTTTATGAGCGAGCGCCTCAATTACTGAACATCCTCCAATGCCGGATATGTAGGTATATAATATAATAGTGGGGAATAGATGTCTCGTTATCGGAATTCCACTATCTGGCAACTAGCCCTATGTAAACGCAGCTATTATATGTTTCACTAGGAATCGAGCGCAATTGTACTTTTAGCCAGAAAATAAATGCTTGGGTAATTCTGGGACACTCTGTAGGGGAAGTTGGGGCAATGCCGGAGTTGGGGCAAAGCCGAAATTCGAGATATTTCGAAAACCGTAAGACGTGGATGCCACCTGTCAGTGATGCTCTGAAGCTTAAAGGGACCCTCCCACCTTAACATTAGATTTGAGTTGAGATAGCCAAATTGGTGGCCATGGCCTGAAAATACCGGTTTGGACACTCACAACATCGAAAAATGCTTTAATTCGGAGATATCGAATTTCAAACTTGCAGTTTTCGGATTCTAAGGGGCTAATGCATTGGTATGCCCCCTTAGAATTTGTGACGTCAGCGGAGATCTAACGATTTTAAATCTTTTACTAAAACGTTTGGTAGCACGCGGTGGTATATGCTGCTTTGCGCGCAACAAATGCCGCACTTTCAAATAAAGTCGCTAGGAACAGCGGAGATGCCAAAAAGTAAACAAAAGTAAAAGTCTAATATCTTGAAAACCGGTGAATATTTTTCGATGAAATTTGGTAGATATTCGTTTTTGCTCTTTCTGAACCGAGCGACATCACTTTCATGCCAATTCATTAACTTTTTTGAAGGTGGGAGGGTCCCTTTAAGTGACTACAATTATCGCATGTTTGTTACGAGTCGTCATTCGGAATACTTCGGCTGTGAGGGCGCCAAGAGCGTTTTTAAAGGAACCCTCCCACCTTCAAAAAAGTTAATGAATTGGCATGAAAGTGATGTCGCTCGGTTCAGAAAGAGCAAAAACGAATATCTACCAAATTTCATCGAAAAATATTCACCGGTTTTCAAGATATTAGACTTTTACTTTTGTTTACTTTTTGGGATCTCCGCTGTTCCTAGCGACTTTATTTGAAAGTGCGGCATTTGTTGCGCGCAAAGCAGCATATACCACCGCGTGCTACAAAACGTTTTAGTCAAACATTTAACGGACGTTCGAAAGCCTGATGACGTCATCAGATTCCCGTAATGGTTAAGAGATAGGGACCACGCTGGTCCCACCCTGCAAGTAAAGGGAAGAAATTTCTTAAACACCATAAAGCTGCGGGGGTTGCGACCAGGATAAATGGTGGTTTCTGAGCCTGGCCGCAAACTTGGCTATCTCAACTCAAAACTAATGTTAAGGTGGGAGGGTCCCTTTAAGGTACGCATTCCTTGTACTACATGCGCCTTTGAAGCTGCATTTCTTACTCATTATGCTACCGTTTGTCTGGCCAATTCGGTCAAGTAATCTTCAGCATGTCTTTGCATAAGTGTGCTGCCTATTTGAAATTTATACGGCACGTTGAAAAGTTATGGGCCTGCAAATGAAAGTATGGCTGGCTGGGGTAATGCCGAAAACGTGCAATTACGCACGTTAAAGCACGCTGCGTGGACTTTACTGCTGTAGAATAGCAACGCGAATTTTTAGTCACACAAATTACACTTTCAACCGACACAACGGCCTGTTACCTATAAGGAATTATTTACCTGGCATTTTCTTATTATATCACACAATTATAACTTCCAGTGTGCACCAAGCGTCCTCAAGCTCTTAAAACGCGTGTCAGCTTTGATAAATTCTGGATAAAGTTTGAGATAAAGTGGCAAAACATCAATGTCGGCATTCCCCGTAGATCATTTCTCCCATTTTCGGCTTTCCCCGCAGTCCGGGGCAACGCCGAAAAAGTCACTTCTTTGATATTTTTAGTTTGTGCGCTTAACGGTATGCGAATTCATCAAATGCGCCTGGTATGTTTGAAAGGCAAAAGACTGGCCTCTCGAATGACGCCAACAAGAATAGCTTATGTTGTCTACCTTGCGTGCTACGGGCGTCAGAAAAAAGTATTCGGCGTTCCCCCAACTTCCCCTATTAAAGGGACCCTCCCACCTTCAAAAAAGTTAATGAATTGGCACGAAAGTGATGTCGCTCGGTTCAGAAAGAGCGAAAACGAATATCTACCAAATTTCATCGAAAAATATTCACCGGTTTTCAAGATATTAGACTTTTACTTTTGTTTACTTTTTGGGATCTCCGCTGTTCCTAGCGACTTTATTTGAAAGTGCGGCATTTGTTGCGCGCAAAGCAGCATATACCACCGCGTGCTACCAAACGTTTTAGTAAAAGATTTAAAAATCGTTAGATCTCTGCTGACGTCACAAATTCTAAGGGGGCATACCAATGCACTAGCCCCTTAGAATCCGAAAACTGCAAGTTTGAAATTCCATATCTCCGAATTAAAGCATTTGTCGATGTTGAGAGTGCCCAAACCGGTATTTGCAGGCCATGGCCACCAATTTGGCTATCTCAACTCAAAACTAATGTTAAGGTGGGAGTGTCCCTTTAATTGGAGGAATAGGACTTAGGAGGAAATGCGATTGCAAATCGACCCACATCCCTGTGTTAGCCAATGACGCCTTTGGGGCCAAGGTTGGGGGTATTCAGTTTAGCCTTTTTGTTTTTCTGTGATATCTCCGGCACCGTGAAAGATATTGGCTCCTTCAGATGAGTGCCTACTCCAGTCACTACTTATATCCAGTAGCCAGTAGCCACTCAGATGATTTGGGATCAATCAGGTGATAAGCGTACTTTCAGACGACCAGGGGCCCCCAGTCGACCAGGGGTTCCCAGGCGACCAGGTCCTCCAGATGACTAGGGGCCCCACTGCCCCAGGCGACCAGGGCCCTCCAGGGCCCTGGTCGACCTAGGGCCAATGCGATCAGGTCCCCAAAGCGATCAGGTCCCCAATGCGATCAGGTCCCCAGACCTAGGGCCAATGCGATCAGGTCCCCAAAGCGATCAGGGGGCCCCCATGCGACCAGGGGGCCCCATGCGACCAGGGGCCCCCAGGCGACCAGGGGCCCCCAGGCGACCAGGGGCCCTCTAGGTGACCAGCGGCCCTCAGGCGATCAGGGGCCCCCAGGCGACCAGGGGATCCCAGGCTTCCAGGGGCCCAAGGCGACCAGGGTCCCCCAGGCGACTAGGGGCGACCGGGGGCCCCAGGCAACCAGGGGCCCCATGCGACCAGGCCCCCACGGCTACCAGGGGCCCCCTGGGCGACTAGGTACCCCCAGGCGATCAGGGGCCTCAATATCATGCAACCAGAGGCCCCCATGCGACTAGGGCCCCCTAGGCGACTAGGGGCCACAGACTATCAGGGGCCCATACGACCGGGCCCCCGGCTATCAGGGCCCCCTAGGCAACTAGGGGCCCCCAGTCGATTAGGGGCCTCATGCGACCAGAGGCCCCCCATCCGACCAGGGCCCCCTAGGCGACTAGGGGCCACAGGCTATCAGGGGCCCCCATGAGACCAGGCCCCCGGCTACCAGAGGCCCCCTAGGCGACCAGGGGCCCAGGAAACTGGGGGCCCTTGGATGACTGCAGGAGCCCCTCGGGTACCCAGGGCACATAAATGAAACTTTAATATCAATTTTTCTTCCGAGTAAAAGACGTTTTATCCAGTGTTTAAAAAATATCCTGGGGCCTGAGGGGCCCCCTGAGCGCCGAAGGCGCTCAGGGGGGGGGGCCTTGGCCCCCGTGGCCCCCCTGTGAGGGGGGCTTAGGCCGGTCCTGCAGGCCCTTCGTTACCTCCCCTCCGGATATCTACTTTACTCTACATGACAAGTGGTAGGCCGGGACGTCTCCCAGCCATTACCCCGACTGCCACCCGGGCCACTGTCATCTACACTAATTGTACTAAACTATGCATCGTGGTTCAGGTGAATAACTCCGCCATTTTGGGGCACACGCGGTTGGAAGCGTACCCTCATGGGTTTGGAGCTAAGCTCCTGAGCCGTGATGACTAAACTACGGTACCGAATGAATCAGACTCCGCTCAACCTCCGTTCTCCTCCGACTCAACCCGTCTCCAAATGCATCTGGTCAATTCTAAACCCATTTATTGTAAAAACCGAACATCATAAAGGACTGCGCATTGAATTGGATCCGAGACGACCGATTATTTCCGTTTCCGCAAGTTTCTACCCTAACACTACCCTAACGGTTCACGGCGCGCGAATCTACCTAACCCTCCACCCCGGTGCTCCTATCCTAACTATGGGATGTGCTTTGAGCCCAGCATCAATCCCTGCGTGACAGGAACCTACCTCGAGCCAGGTGAGCCAGCAGCAGAGAGCAGTCGGGGGCTCGATGTCCGTACCGGACGGCAGTCAGACACCAAGAGCCCCGATCTCCTCTCCCCTGCTTTCGTCTCGTCCCTCGCCCGAGTAGGCCACGCCCACATCAGCCGCCTCGAGGCCATAGATGGCGGCCGATGTGCCCGTGCGGTTCCCGCCGCGCTGGCCTCCTTTCAGACCCCTGCCTAAATATCCCACGCGTACAATTTTAACAAAACCAAGGTAACTAAAACGGACACTGACTCAAACTAATCTCCAAGCTGGTACGGCCGCTCACCCGCTCCCCTACATAATACCCCCCTCTCCGGCAGGGGGGAAAA